ACTTGAAGCTTTTTGTTTATTTCTCTGGGATGGGCCGATCATGTTAGATGTATTAGAGTGCTTTGTTACTCCTATTATTGAACATGACATTTGAGTAGGACTCATCAATCCAAATCTTAAATATCATGTATGCATAAACAAAATATAACAAGGGAAATAATGTAAGTTGAATAAAAATGTGAAGCAAATAAAGTAAAGACTGTACCCCATATGAAGCATTTGGAAAGTTGTTAGTGTCAAGATGTGACACCATAGAAACAAGCATGTCTTCATCGAGTTGCTCTAAGCCATGACCTACTTACAATATGCATACTATGCAACGTAAGATATGATGTACCAAATCTTGTGGCGGCTGGGCGAATAAGATCCCTTTTAGTAAATTGACGCATCAATGCAAGTGACCATCCATGATTATACATAAAATAACTCACCTATTACCAACTAATATATCTAATACATTAGTAAATTAAATATGTATAAATGCAAGTTAAATTAATAATTGAATTATTTATGGTATAAATTCTACACCTGTTATTCATTAGTTTCGATCTTAAAAAAATTAAGTAACTAGTTGATCTAGGATATAAGTGCAGTTTCGAACTTGTTGTAGTTTGGAATTGAAAAAATTGATTAGTTTATCTGTATACAATAAATGCATTTTCAAACAAATATGTATTGTAGTTTCTAACTTCAGAAATAAAAAGTTTAGCACTTTTTATACATTTGTTCTTGTAAAAAATATTGCTGATTTGTAGGAACTTTTTTTAAAGGTAATTGACATAGTTTTCTATGAAAAGTCAAGAAGCCTAAAATTGTGAAGTGCGCCTCAACTAGAAGGTAACTTGAACTTTAAGGTAATTGACACAATTTTCTGCAACCCAAACCCCGGTTCAAATAACAGGCCCAACTAAAATTGGAGATTTGGGTTGGAGCGGTTGGGTTTGTTATTTGAACCACGCCTCAACTTATGCTCTATGGCGGACACAATAATCGTACGCCTTAGCAAAAAAGGCGTATACTTTTGTATTTCCGAAATTAATTTTAGCATTGCATCCTAAAATCCTGTAAAGTAGTAAAGCATAAAGGCATTGCGCAATTTCAAACAATGTTCATTACATGTTTTCTATGAAGTATACATTATATTCATAAAATTTCAGTTTAAAATTCAATCTCGAAGTATGTTAAATGAATTATTGAAAACACTGCATTTTTTATGCATATTTTAGCAAAGTGTTTTCCAATAAATTATTTAACCGACTTCCTGATTAATTTTTTTGTTGAAATTTCATGAATATAATCTACATTTGATGAAAAACATGCTCACAAAATTTCAAAAAAAAAATCACTTAGATGTAAATTAGCCTTATATTATTATTTGATTAGTTTAATAATTGATTTCATTCATAATTGATTGTTTGATTTCTTAATTTTTGACTGTTATCTATTGAGTTTTGGTGTTATAATATGTTGATTTTGTTAGACAAAAAGTTTTAATTGTATTTAAATTTATAAATTTAATTAATTTAAGGTGTAATTAAATTGATTGAATTTAGATAGGATAAAGAAAAAAGAGGAGATGATTACAAAAACGGTGGTAAGTAAAAAAAAGGTCAATGGAAAAGTTTGTTTGTGTAAAGAAGACAAATTATGAGTGTCCTTGTCAACATGAGAATTCAGAATGAAACGATTCATAATGTTCACATCATTGGAGGGAATTTATGAGTTGATAATGGTAGAGTTAATTTTTAAAATAGGACTACAATATTGTTAAATTGCACAAATAGGACCATCATTATCTTCTTCCTAAATAAGAACCACCAATACTATAATATTATTGGTTTAGACATAAGAGAATTTATAGCTTTCTTTACAAATGTCTTGAAATATTATTATTATTTTGCATGTTATTTAGACAGAAAAGAGATTTACAATTTTGTTAAGATTAGGCCCATTTTAATTCTCCCCCGTCATCAAACGCACAATATCAGCCCTGTCAGTTGGGTTTGACTGAGCCATTGAGACTTGTGCAAATTACCCGTCTAAACCATTAATACTTTCCGAATTTCATTTATGGCTCATCGTATTTTTTTTTTCAATTTTAACTTTCCTCTTTTCAATAATAGGCTTTTTGTATTTCATCTTCCTAACCTCCAAATTCAAAACCACCGCATCCCCAAATCCAAATTCAAAGCAGTTCACGCAATATCGATGCTCAAGAGGACCTCTTCGCGAGGAAGCAACTTGATGACGGCCGCACCCTGTCGACTACCAGATCGAGAGACAGCCCGACCTCCTCATTGTAATCTTCCTCCACGATGGTGTTAAGAAACACAAGATTAAGCTCGTCGGATTGCAGTTCTACCAGGTTGACTATTCTAACACCGACTCTGGTGATTAAGCATCTCTTTGACGAAACCTTTACATTTTTTCATTACTGTTACATCTCGATTTTTAAATTTGACTTTCTCTTATGACTTTGAATTGAGATGTGGTGGATTAATTACCTTCCATCTAAGTTTCAATTGTGGTTTAGGCAATCATGTTGACTCAAGTTTTCTCAATTTTGATTTGCATGGATTTATATCTTGATCGAGGTGATACTGTTTTTCTGAAATATAATTTCACAAATGATGTTTTTAACTGCTGGGATGTTATCCTTCACAAAAATAACGGCTGGGATGTTACTCTTTGATTTTCATTTGTCCCATACATCACATTTTGGCTACTCACAATATGCCCACTCTGGAGCCAGCTTTGCCGGTTCACCTTATAAGTTCCCTTCGAATGATGATGACAACCTAACAAGACGTATAAAGAAAATATATGAAGGAAAGCCACACTATGTGATAGATATATGTAATACATTGAAATACTAGATTGAACTACATAGTTGTTGTGATACTTTTATATATTGTTTTTTGTTGCTTTTTGTTGTATTGAATGTGTTGCTTTTTGTTGCATCTTGGTGTTTTTTGTTGCATCATGTTGCTATTTGTTGCACTGTGTTATTTATTTTTGTTTTGTTGTTGAATTGTTCTTGTTTTTTGTATATTTAGGTTTTTACTTATCGTTGATACTTCTCTAAAGTAAAAAATCATATATAGATTCATATTTAATCAGGTAAAATGATAAATTTGAATTTCTATATATAAACCAACCACAAGAAACATAAAGAAACAATAAAAAACAAAAAAATCAGAGTTATCAACAAAAGGAAACAAGAAGAAACAATAGTCAACAAAAAGAAACAACAAATCTATTTACATTTTTTATTATTCATATTTTAAATTTTTAAAATTTTTCAACATTGAATTCTATTTTAATTTTTATTTTATTTTACACATTTTGAATTTTCGAGTTTTATATTTCTTATGCTTTTTAGTTTATTTATATTAATTTCTTTTTAATTTTTTAAACAATTTACTATTTATATTTTATTTTATAGCATTTAATTTGATTTTTAAACTTTTTTGAAACATAAAGAAACAATAAAAAACAAAAAATTCAGAGTTATCAACAAAAGGAAACAAGAAGAAACAATAGTCAACAAAAAGAAACAACAAATCTATTTATATTTTTTATTATTCATAGTTTAAATTTTTAAAATTTTTCAACATTTAATTCTATTTTAATTTTTATTTTATTTTACACATTTTGAATTTTCAGTTTTATATTTCTTGTGGTTTTTAGTTTATTTATATTAATTTCTTTTTAATTTTTTAAACAATTTACTATTTATATTTTATTTTATAGCATTTAATTTGATTTTTAAACTTTTTTCAAACTTATCAATTTATTTATTTTATTTTTTTACTTTGTATGTATATCGGTCTCTAAAATAATAACTATTTCGTAATAGTTTATAATTGCCTATGATAATTTGTAATATCTTCAAATATTTTATAATTTTCAAAACCATTTTTTATAATCTTTTTTTATTTTTAATATTTCAAATATTATAGAGTTTAATTTCTTTTTTCTTTTTTTGAGAATTTTTTTCACTTTTTGCTTTATATGTTTGAATTTTTTTAATTACTTCTAAAAAAATGAATTATTTATATTTTTTAATGCTTTAAGTACTTTTTAATCAAATTATAGATTTTATGAAGTCTTTTAAGAAATAAAATTACAGAAATTGTTCTATTTCTACAAATTTTCCAAGTCATAAACTATTTTAAATATTTCCTATTTTTACATTTTATTGTTGTATTTGCAATTTTTTATACATTTTCAATACTCAGATTTTTTTTTAAAATTCATATTTCATTTTTTAAATTTAGCTTAGGAGTTTTCAGTCTCATTTTTGATTATGCATTATGTGATTTCTTAATTTAGTTATTTTTTTAATCTAATTTTAATACTTTTATTATTTTCTAATTATCTTCATCTCTTTTACCACATATTTATATCTTTTATTTAAAAAAAATGAATTGAGTAATTATTGTAGTTTATACAAATTTATCAAATGTGTGAAAGTAGCCACTGTCGATGCAGGCTTCAGGCTTCTTTGAAGTGAAGAACTGAATATTACAGTAAGTTGGTTCAATGCACGGAGCACATAGTCTATTTTTGAAAGGAAAAGTTCAATGGACTATTTTTGAAAAGAATTTTGAAAAGTGAAAAAAAGTGATATTACTTTCACTTTGTGTCTAGTTGTGCAAAAACCCCTTGAGATTTTAACTCTCATTGTTGCCCCTCAACAGGAGAGCTCTGCATGTGTTTGTCGTTTTTTGATGCGGATAGGAGAAAAATGAAAATTCTCCATCAAAATGTGCATCATTGAGTAACCTTGTATTACATACTACTTCCGTCCCGTTATGATTGTCCCGTTTTATTTTATTGGTTCGTCCCCTAAGATTGTTCTATAACAAATTTGACAAAGTTTGTGTGGTTCTAAATCATTCTTACTTTATTCTTACTTTATCTATTCATTATAAACCCTTTTTGTTTGTCACTCCCTTTTCTCTTGATTAGCCCTTGTTTGGCGTCGACAACAAATAAAGAGTCATCCTCAGAACATCAAGTACTGTTGTTCAACTTCGGGGAGAAATATTGAAAAACTACCCCTTAGTGTGTGTGTTCATCATTGTTTGGCACCAGGACTCCAAGAGGATGATGGATTGGTGGGTTTCCATGCCAAAGCTGGAACTTCACGCGCACCTTAATGGCTCTATCAGGAACTCCACTCTATTGTATGGTCTCTTTCATTCACCCCAAATTTTATCGCCTTTTTAGTCGCTCTCTTTTGTTCCAATATTCCGTCCTCGGATTCTAGTATGATTGATAGCTTTACATGGAAACTTCTGCTGGTGTGGTTTACATGTTTGAATGTCCACTCAAAGAATTGAATGATATTACTCCATACTTCCTATCCACGGTTCCAAAGACTGTTTCATAAGATTTTATCTTCTTTGTGGGCGATTAGTTTAAGAATCCTTGACTCTATTCGCCTAATGTTCATATGATTTATGTATATTTGCAGGGAGCTATCCAAAGAATTGGAGGAGAAAGGGGTAATTGTTTTCTCAGATGTGGAACATGTTATACTGAAAAGTATGCACCCTCTATCTCCTTATTTTTTCAATAACTTGGTCGATTTTGTTACTTTCTAAAGAATAACCTTTTCGACAGTTTATTCGGAAATATTTTGTTTTGATTCTCAGATGATCGTTCACTTTATGAAGTATTCAAAGTGTTTGACTTGATTCACCTTCTTACCACAAACCACAAGACTGTCACCAGAATTACCAAAGAGGTAGTTGAAGATTTTGCTGCGGAGAATGTTGTATACTTGGAGCTAAGGACAACTCCTAAGGTATTTTATAAAAAGATTTTGGTTTCCATCCTAAAAGATTAAACTTATAAGAGGAGTAGCCAAAATACTCTGAGACACCAAAAAGTTAATCTTTTATGGAGGCTAATTAAAAAAATCTTATATATAAGTTTGTATCTTGATATTCTCAATACTAATATTTGGTATGCAAGAGCATTTAGAAACATAGATAACTTAAACCTCTTTTTAAGAATCTGCAAGTGTTAAAGTTCTTGATTGGGATGTGGTTACTCAACTGAGTGATAATGAACATGGCAGACCAGACTAAAAGACCAGTGCTTGACACACACAATTAGCTAGGATAACCAAGGTCTTATAAACATGTTTTTGTCCCCTTGGAATTTTGAAGTGTAACTGGAACAATAATCTCCCCAAATGCAGAGAAATGATTCAAAAGGGATGACAAAAGGGTCGTACATGGAGGCAGTCCTGGAAGGGTTAAGGGCCGTCAGCACAGTTGATGTTGATATTCTTCATGATTCAGATGTAGAAAGCCATATTAATGCTCATACACAATGTGGTGGTGGAGTAAATGGAACACAAAGAAAGAAGATTTATGTTAGACTTCTTCTGAGTATAGATAGGCGTGAGACAACTGAAGCTGCTATGGAAACTGTATACTATTGGAATAAAAATGATGATTTTGTTTCTATCTTTTATAATACTAAGTGATTGTTTTCTGCTGGTGATGTCTGTTATATTATTTACTTGAAGGTTAAGCTTGCTATGGAGATGAGACATTTACGGGTAGTGGGTATTGACCTCTCAGGACCTCCTGATATTGGTGAATGGTAAGTTGATAGAGTAGCGCAGGTATGTAATAGTAATTATCTGTAAAGCGAGCTTCAGAAACAGTAAAACTTCATTAATGGAGGTTCACCGTACAACAAGTCCCAAAGAGAAGAGAAACTATTTCTCTAATCTTCCCAGTCCCAGTCCAGAGATCTAGCAGCCTGCCCTCATTCTATTTATAGACCCCCAACTAACTGAAAGTAGTTACAATTATTTAAATGAAAGTAACTAACAAACCACTAGGCTATTTATTCCTTCTAGAATAAACTTGACCATAGTATCTATCCTTCTTGCTAGCTGCACACGTGTCTATATCAATACTCCCATCCTGAAAATCCAACTTGCCTTCAAGTTGGAAATCTGGGAATTGTTCTTTGATTATCTGTTCTTCTTCCCAGGAATCCTCAAACTCCGGAAGACCCTGCCAATGTATCAGGAGTTCCCTCTTTCCTTTTTGATTCATTCTGACTTCTTTAATCTCCGCAGGTTGTACTTGTAGTTCACATTCTTCTGTAAGACACCTAGGAAGTTCTTGATAGTGGACAGTAGGTTTCAACACCTTCTTAAGCAATGAAATGTGGAATACAGGATGTATTCTACAATCACTTGGTAGCTTGAGTTTGAAAGCCACAGAATTCAGCTTCTATTTGATTTCATAAGGACCTTCTATATGATTTCATAAGGACCATAAAACCTGGGACTAAGTTTCTGATTGATCCTTCTTGCCAAACTCCTCATTTTGTAGGGCTGTAGGGCTGTATTAGTGTATTTTCAGAAACACTTGATCTCCAACCTTCAACTCCACTTCCATTCTGTGTTTGTCAGCTTGTTGTTTCATCAGATTTTGAGCTCTAGCCAAATTTTCTTTTAATTCCTTCAGTATCTCATTTCTCTCAGCTGCCAGTCTAGACACCTCAGCTACAGCAGTTAAACTCACATCTCCTCTTATTATGGCAAGAGGATCTTGTCCAAATAAGGCTTGGTAAGGAGTATTCTTGAGAGAGATATGATAATTTGTATTGTACCAAAACTCAGCCCAAGGTAACCACTTCACCCATTGCTTAGGTTTGCTTCCAGTTACACACCTCAAGTAAGTTTCCACACACCTGTTTACCACTTCTGTCTGTCCATCACTCTGAGGATGGTATGTAGGACTATACCTCAACTGAGTACCTGCCAGTTTAAATAACTCTGACCAGAAAGTGCTAAGAAAAATGCTGTCTCTGTCACTGACAATAGACTTGGGAAATCCATGAATTTTGACCACCTCCTGAACAAAAACTTCAACCACTTCCTTAGCATCAAATGGATGTGACAAGGGTAGAAAATGGGCAAACTTAGTAAATCTATCCACAATCACCAATATAGTGTCCTTCCCATAGGATTTAGGTAATCCACCTATAAAATCCATGCTTATATCTGTCCGGATGTGCTCAGGAAAGGCTGCAATAAACCTGCAGGTTTAAGGGCCTGGTATTTATGTCTTTGACAAATATCACAACTTTGTATGTAATCCTTGATGTCAGATCTCATTCCAGGCCAAAAGAATAGACATGGATATTCTTTTCATAGTCCTGAAGTAGCCTGAATGCCCCCCACTGTTGAGTCATGATACTCCTTCAGGATGGTAAGGATCCTTCCCGATCCTTTAGGTAACATCAACTTCCCTTTGTAATATAACAACCCTCTCTTCAGTTTATAATCCATATGTTGATCTAGCTGACTGAGTACCTTCTGTATGATATCCCCACATTAAGAATCAGCCTGTAACTCCTCTTCTAGACCCTTCCACTCTTGGTAGGTAACTATGGTGTTAGAGACTCTACTAGACCGAGAGGAGATGATAAATACTTTGGCAAAGTATACTCCAGAAGAAAGCAGAGTTAGTTATTAGTTATAGTTGTTAGTAGCTAATAATTGTTTTCCGGTCAGTAGAGTAGTTATTTATTTACTATAAATAGTAATAGACTGGAGATTGTTAGCAGGCTGTTTTGACTTTAGTCATTCTGGGAAGATCAGAGTTGTATCTCTATCTTGGGGCTCCGGCCATTGTTGCCTTGTGAATAAAAGTTGCAGTTGCTTTCTTGTTGATTTCTATGAATAGTTTGTAGAATTGCAGAGTTCTAACATTGGTATCAGAGACTTCGATCACTATGGATGGTACAGATGCGCGCCAAGATGGAAGTGAGGATGGATAACTTGGAGAGAAATCTACAATAAACTAACGAATTGCTAACTACGATGATGGCGCGAATGGACGCAAGAGATGAACATCGTTCGCGCAGTCGATCGCATACTTCACATGCATCGCATCGTACCTCACATCGGCACTCTGCGAGACATGATGACTCTTGTGCAGGATCCGAAGGTCACTCGGATTATTCCCCGCCTAATAGACATCGCAATCATCATCGGTCCAGGAGAAAGATAGACCTACCGCTATTCAATGGTGAAGATGTTTACGGATGGCTGGTACGTATCGATCGCTATTTCCGACTCAACAATATTGAAGAAGAAGAGAAAGTCGAGGTGGTAGTTCTTGCGATGGAAGAAAAAGCTCTCAGCTGGTTTCAGACTTTCAGTGGTGGGAGAAACAGGCGAGGGAGAGGACTTGGGAGAGGTTGAAGAAGGCGTTGACCCGTCGCTTCCAGCCAGAACTGGTTCAGAATCCTCTGGGGCCCTTTACTGAGTTTGAAACAAAGGAATTCTGTCAAAGAGTACCGTGAGCAATTTGAGATGGCAATTGCTTTGATAGACAATCTGGACAGCAAGGTCATGAGAGGATTTTTTTTTAAATGGGCTCAAGAAGGATATCAGGGCGGAGCTAAAGTTGTACAAAACAAAAGATTTGGCGAAAATCATGGATAAGGCCTTGTTAATTGAGAATAAAAATGAGGAGATGATTTCCAGAAAACACAAGGAAGAAGGAAAGAAGTTCTGGAAAGATAATACAGTTAGGGGAGCCCAGTATACTAACTGGAGTGAAGGAAACAAGAATAACAGTAACGTTTTGCATCCAATTTCTTTTGGGAAACCTGTTGTGGATACTAAAGTAGCACAAGGTGGTGAGAGTTCTCATTCCAAGAAGATGGGCCCAGACTGTATCAAAAGGAACTAATGGAAAGGAGCAAGAAAGGATTATGCTTCAAGTGTGGTGAGAACTGGAATAGGGGGCATGTTTGCAAGATGAAAAACTACAGGATGGTTTTAAAGGAAGAATCTGAAGAAGAGGCAGAGTGGGAGGTAGATTCCAGTGGTTCTGATGAAGGAGAAACAAATTACATGGAGTCTAAAACCATGCAATTGTCTGTGCTTAGCAGAGAAGGTATTCCTTCCATGAGAACTTTCAAGATACTGGGGAAATTAATATGGGCTGCAGAAGAAAGGATGGTCAGTATACTCATTGATAGTGGGGCTACACCCAATTTCATATCTCAGAAATGTGTGGATAAATGGGACATTCCTTACGGTCTAATCAAGGGGTATAAGGTCCAAGTTGAGAATGGAGAGTTTATTCAGAACTATGGCAAATGTGTGGGGTTGAAGTTGACAGTGCAGGGGATTGAATTTCATCAGATTTTTTATGTCCTAGAACTAGGAGGGACAGATATGATTCTAGGGTTGGAGTGGTTAACAAAATTGGGGAATATGGAGGTTAATTTCCAAAAACAGACACTGAAATGGAAACAAGAAGGGCAAGAGTGCATGATTAAGGGTGATTCAATCCTTAATAATGTGGAAGTGTCCATAAGAACCATGACACAGATCATTCAGCAAGTAAGAGATGAATACTTGCTATACTATGAAGGGAGGTTAAATGAACAGAAGCAGAATCAAGAAGGTACCTTGGTGTGGGAAGATGTTTTGAAAGAATTTCCTGAAGTGTTCAAAAAGGAGTTGGACTTTCCACCTGAAAGGGCATGTGACCACTCCATCAACATCAAGGAAGGAGCTAGCATTCGCAATCTAAGGCCATACAGGTACACCTATGATCAGAAGAATGAAATAGAAAGGATTATTCAGGAAATGTTACATTCTGGAATAATTAAAAACAGTAACAACCCTTATAGCAGCCCCATTTTACTTGCCAAGAAAAAAGATGGGGGTTGGAGGTTCTGTGGAGTTTACAGATCCTTGAATAAAATAATAGTACCTGATAAATTTCCCATCCTAGTGATTGAAGAATTGCTTGATGAGTTAGGTGGAGCTAAAATCTTCTCAAAATTAGATCTGAAATCTGGTTATCACCAGATCAGAATGAAGTCTTGTGACACCCACAAAACTGTCTTTAGAACTCACGAAGGCCATTATGAATACTTGGTAATGCCTTTTGGGCTTACCAATGTCCCTTCCACTTTCCAGGCCTTAATGAATGAAATCCTCATACCCTTTCTAAGGAAATTTGCTCTAGTCTTTTTTGATGATATACTAGTGTACAACAAGTCTATTGAGGAGCACAAGGAACATTTGAGAAAGATTTTAGAAGCCCTACAGAGTAATAAACTGGTGGCAAATGTTAAGAAATGCTCTTTTGGTCATCAACAATTAGTGTATTTGGGTCACATTATCTTTGAGGAAGGAGTTTCTGCAGATCCCAGTAAAATAGAGGTAATGGTGGATTGGAAAGAACCACATGACATCAAAAGTTTGAGAGGGCTCCTGGGTTTGACTGGCTACTACAGGAGGTTTGCCAAGGGGCACAGTAAGATTGCTGCACCTTTGACCAGTTTGTTGAAGAAAGGGGGTTCATTTGGGATGAAAGAGCAAGAGAGTCATTTGAAGAATTGAAAACTGTGATGACTACTTTACCAGTGCTGAGTACTCCTGATTTCTCTAAAATGTTTACCTTGGAAACTGATGCATCAGGGAAGGGAGTGGGTGCTGTCTTGATGCAAGAAGGCAGACCCCTAGCCTTTATGAGCAAGGAATTATCCCCAAAACACCAGTTGAAGTCGGTTTATGAAAAGGAATTAATGGCCATAGTGTTTGCAGTCCAAAA